TTGGCCAGCTGGAGAGGTGTGAGGTTTGAACTCCAGCAACCTGAGGCTGACAGCTTTGTGGAAGCAGCCACTTAAAGGCCTGAACTAGGGCCAGGCCCCTGCCTTCCACTTTCTGGTTTTTTTTTTTTTTTTTTTGGAACCTGGGATTGAACTCAGGCTCTTGCGCTTGCCAGGGAAGTGCTTAGTCTACTGAGCCATCTCCCTGGCCTATGTGACAGATTTTTAATAGTCCTTGAAGTATTTCAATTAATTTGTATCATTCTGTTGATCCTCTTTTTTGAAAAGAGAGCCTATAGGTATAATCTATATTAGAGAAGAACTCATGAGGTGGGAATAACAAATACTGCCTTTATCACCTTGCAGAATCTTTACTTGAAGGCTAGGAAGATAGCTCAGCAATCTAAGTGCCTGCCTGGCAAGCACAAGGGCCCAGGTTTGATCCCTGGTACAGTACAACATACTGTGCCAGTCCCAGAGCCCCAGGCATGCCATGCTGGCCACAGAAACAGAGCGTGGTAGCACATGTCTGTAATCCCAGCACTGGGGAGGCTGAGATAGGAGGATCACTATGAGTTGAAGATGCATAGTGAGTCGCTATACCAAATAAAATAATTTTAAAATTAAAAAATATCTTCGCTTGACGTGCTATTGTGACTATAACCAATGGTAATACAAAGCATAAGCTTGACTCAATGAGGTGTGCCCATGATTTATTAACAACTTTACCTACAAGTTGACTTTCTAATCAATTTGTGAGAAATTTCTCTTATGAGAAACGCATGGGAGTTTTTACAAGTTAACTATTAGCACAATTAATACAAACATTTCCAAAATAAGTCTTTTCACGAACATAGTCATTTGCCAATAAAACATTGATTCCTAGGGCTGATGGGAAACAGTCCTGAGTTGGGGTTCAAAGGTAACATAATGGTTCATCTTGATGGACACCGGGACTGGATTAAAAAACACCTAGGAAATTAGTCAAGCCCACTTCTGGGTGTGTCTGTGAGGGTGTTTCCAGAGACAGTTGCCAGGTGGGGCTGCAGACCCATCAGGGACACTTTGCATGGATGTGGCCGCACCATCTGCTAGGGTGGGAGTCTGGATGACATGAAAGTGTAGTTGGAAACCCGCTAGCACATCCTCATGTTCTCTGGACAGCTTCATGCACCAAGCCCTTCTGTGATAACTTTTTCCAACTCACCACAAGTCTAAAAGCAATGAAGCTGGCTGACCATGGACTGGAAGCTCTGCAACTGTGAGCCAAAATAAACTTTTTCTTTTTAAAATTGTTGTTCTCCGGTATTTTGTCGCAGAGATGGACAGCTAACTACCACAGGGAGCATCCTGGTGTTCTTGACAAAATGATTGTGAGAACTTGGAGAAAGGGAACAGATTGGACAATCTCTAGCAATGTCAGAGAGCCATGGGTCATACATAGAAGGATATTACTTAACCTTATCCTGTTACTGATATGACTGCCTCTACAGCCATGAGAAAAAAGCATGGCACCCAGTTCAGTGACTGGATGGAGGTCAACCAGATGGACAGAACCAGGACTGCAGTTTTCTCACTCCCAGTTTGCCTGTATATACCACACGTTGCTGCCCCTCTATTTTTACTGAATTTTTACTCCATAAAGTCATTGAGAACTGTTTTTGAAAACATATTTGGGAAATCTCAATCATTTATTAGAAATTACCAGAACTTTCAAGTGCAAATGATGCAGTTCCTGTTGTTATAAAATCTTCCTTATATTTAGCTCTAATTGTCCAAAAGCCATATCTGTAAAAACAACACATTTACAATTTACATATCATCAAAGAATATATCTTTAATTCGCCTCATGAGTAATTGCACTCATAGTAGGCACCAAGGGTTAAATACTTTCCATGTGCAAGCTCATTCAATCCTTGTAAAAATACATGGGCTAAGTGCTATTATTAACCATATACTATCATGAAAAGATTGAGGTCCAGATGGATAAAGTAATTTGCCCAAGGACAAACGGCTGGTAGGTGGTGCAGCTCGGATTAAAGCTGGTCAGTCTGACTCTCAAACCCTTGACAGCCTCAATTAACTGCACATTCTAAATAATATACACATTGGAAAGGTGTGTTAAAATTACAAATGAAAATATGCATTTTAGGAAAAATCATTGTAAGTGCCTGAAATTATTTTTATATTAGTGATTATTTCTCTAGGAGACCATAGTGGTATATATACTTAACTAGAAAATATTTTTAAATTTTCAAACTTTAAGTATTGGTTGTTCAGTTGATGAACCAAACACGAGCTTAATCACATTGAGAGCTTGAATATATTATATAGTTTTCCAGAAAATCAGGACCACATTGTCAGGAAAACTTAGCTAAATGGTAAAAATGTATAGTTTTTGAGCTTTCACAGCCCAAGGCCAGCGTATCATTATTTTTAGGGGCCAGTATGGAAGAAGCTAGAGAAAAGATGCACTTTGCCCTCCAAGAGCTCAGGGCAATCATTTCCACGCCATTCCATTGAATGTCTGTATGATCTTGAGTTTGCTTATCTTGAAAATGAGAATGATAGGCCTGCAGCTTGCATAGCACATAGCAGAACACCCAATGTCCTTAAAGTATTGAAGTGTTATACTTGCAAGGCATTATGTACCACAGAAGTCTGAAATCATGCTTCAAAATCTCATCGAAGTTCTAGAAACATTAAATGACAAAGAAATCTCCAAAACCTCTACTACAAAATATGTACATACTATGAAATATGAAATATATACTAATGGATGTCTTTTCTCCTTTTTCATTTTTTCTCCTGTTTTGTTTTTCCATCTTTCTCTCCCATTTTATGAGCAGGGTCTGCAACCCCACAGCATCTACCACCTAAACTTTCTGTGGAGGACTTAAACTCGATACAGCAGATTACCTTGGTGATGGTAGTAGGAAATAACACATCAAGCCACTGCCTTCATGCAGAAAAGCTCAAGCAGATTCCACCATCCTCTAAGTTAACTAGACCTAGGAAGAATAACTAAAACCAAACTTGCTTTCATTAGCACCTTCTGTCACCTATAAATGACTCATTTGACTATTCAGTACCCCCCAGGGTCTCCACTGTGTTTAAGAGCAACTTAACCAACAAACAACTAAAAATACTTAGGATTAGACAGGATCTTGAAGTCAGGAAAACTGATAATCCCGGTGTGATTTTTTTCTTCTACTGTGGCAACTTCTGACTCTTCTGGGTCCTTTGAGTGAAAAGAAAAACAAAAATTAAATCTAATCTTGTCTTAACATCTTAGAAATACAGATGCTACACACAAACCTGCTATGTGCTTGATAATTCTTATAGAGATATATACTAGCATGTGCTAAGAAATGTTAATATACACAGTATTTGTCTCACGTTGAGACTCATGCTGGTCATGCTTGTTAGCAAAGACTGCTGCCAACTGTACAAAGGTATATCTTAAACAGGCATAAGGTAGCTGGTGAGATAGTTCAGTGGTCTAAAGTGCCTGTGTAGGCAAGTTTAGGCATGTGCAGGGGACTGCGGTTGATCCCCAGCACCACATGCTGTGCTAGCCCCATCCTTAGGGTGGTCTGAGCTGGCCAAAAAAAAAAAAAAAAAAAGGAAAACCTAAACAGGCATAAGTAGAACTATAAATATTTAAGGAAATGTTAAACTCCTAGCAGATCTCTTCCCCCATAGGTCTCCTTCAAAAATTTGTTTATTTGATACAAGGTCTTGCTACCCAGCTTCAACTCGTAGTGGTCCTACTGCCTCCCCAGCACTAGGATTACAGGAGTATGCCACCACACCTGGTTTAGGGCTGTCTTGGTGTACCTGAAGGCAGGGCTGGCATGGATGCAGTACCTGGGATCAAACTCAGGGTCCTCGCACTTGCCAGGCAGGCTCTTAGACCAGTGAACTATGTCCCCAGCCCTAGCCCTTCTTCTTGAACAGGACTCTATGGTGATCAGCCCCAGCACCATTTTCATAATTTCACTGCATGCATGACCAAAGGTTTCTCTGGCTCCCTGTTCTTTGACATCAAACCTGAACACATATGAATCTGCCACCACAACCGTCTCCCATGTGCTCCATGTCTGTCCTCCAGGAGAAGTTTAACAAGCAAACAGCAGAATCTGTGCAGCCAAGACATTCACCTTTAAGATGAGCTCGCTAGGTCCTGCCTGTCCTGATGACTCCCCAGATACAGACCATGATAGTTCATCCAATCTACTGTCTATCCCTGAAATCCTTCTAGGCTGATTAGTTACAGCCACACCACTGTTACTGTCAACTCCGTGACTTGCCATCCCGCCTCTTCTGGCTCTAAACCCCTGAGTCTGACTGTCTGTCTGTTTCTCATCTGTCTGTTTCTCTCTCTCTCTCTCTCTCTCTCTCTCTCTCTGTCTGTGTGTGTGTGTGTGTGTGTGTGTGTGTGTGTGTGTGTGTGTGTGTGTGTGTTTTACTGGAGATCAAACCAGGGACATTCTCCCAGTGAGGTACATCTCTGGCTGTTTTTACTTTGAGACAGGGTCTCACTAAGTTGCTCAGATGAGATTTGAACTTGCAGTCTTCCTGTTTAGCCTCCTTAAGACTGAGATTGGGGGAATTCAACCCCAAGTTCAGCTCTGACTGCTACTCTTCTGCACACCAGTTTTTCTCCATCAAATCCTCTCTGTAGTTTCCTTTAAGTCACAGTGGAGAATGCACCCTTGTCCTTTAGCAATTCCAGAGAATTGCTCCAGAGAGGGGAGCGCTTCCTTGTCAGCACTGCCTCCCCTTCAAGCTGGCTTGCTAGCGTAGGTTCTATAACACTCCTTACTTGCCTTGCCATATATCATGTATGCTGGTCTGACCTTCCAAATTCAGAGGCTCATAGCGAGACATCATAGTCCCCAAATCAAAGGACAGAAGCTAAGTACTGAGTCCATGGAGCCAGGCTTGAGTTTAAATCCTGATTCAGTCGATAATTATGGATGCCAGTTGGTGTTTAATTTCTCTAATCCTTAGCCTTCTGTTCTATACAATGTGGAAATGACAATGATTCTTTATGGTTGTTATGGCAACATAATGCATGGTTATAAGCACCTCATTTCATGTTTCCATCACCCTTGCCACATTGCCCATGCTCACAGAAAACAAGAGGATTCCAGCTCATCAACTGACCCACTTTAGAGATGGGCCATCGAAAGGTGCTCTTTAATGGAGTCAGTAAATGTTTCAACATTTAATTGATGCACAAAATTGTTAATTAAGATCAGAGAAGTATAAAATTATCAGGTTCTATTCAGAGTAGCTGCTGAATAAATGCTTCCTGCAATTTCATATTGAATGACTTAATGTCAGATATGATAATGAAAGCTCTTCATTTAAATAATCGAAATGTCAGGGTTAAATTTAGATTTAAAGGAATGGTATACTCACTATGAATGTCAAGGTAACTTCTTTTGGAGATGGCTTTAGGTCTTTATCCAAGGCATAAACTCTAACTTTCACTGTAAGAAAAATTGGCACTGTTAGGAACTCCATTCAACTCTAAATGATCTGACAATACAATTAGTAACTCTTTAACATAAGGTCCATGAAATTTTTAAAAAGTAAGAAATCTCAAAACATAAAATCCAAGCTTAAAAAGCTCATATTGTGATGATTAAATTTAACTTTTATTAAAGTTGGGGACAATTAGTTTTCAATCTTTTTTTTTTATTTTTTTATTTTTAGGGAAGGGGCTACAGGGCGTTCAGGGTCTCACTACTAGATCGAACTCAGAGTCATCAGTGTGTTTACAGACTCCCAAGAGCTGGGATTACAGGCAAATGCCACCATGCCCGGTTTCAATTGCCATCTCAGAGCGCCCCAGGGGGGGGGGCCAGCACGGCAGGCCTGGGGATCGAACCTTGGCCCCTGCCCCTGCTTGCAGGTGCTTGCTACAATTAGTTTTTAAGGAAAATTCACATATAACTTCTTTTAAATATTTCTCTTTATGCATTTACAACACGCATGAACATATTCGAACTATTTTTACTCGAACTTTTGCATTTTTAATGCACTGAGATGAGAGAGACTTCAGTTCGCTAATATCTGAAAGTATCATAAAATAGAGGGGAAGAACTGAAAGCAAGTTGTATGGACACAGTCCAGTCAATGAAGCATTCCCTAACTCACAAGAAAGACTCAGCAAGAATCTGCACAGCTAAAGGTATGATTAAGTATTAAGTTTAAGGAAGGTTGAAAGCTGCACAGACCTGACCTCTTCTAAGACACACAGTCTTCCTCGGACCAGATACCAAGAGAGGTCTCTGATCCTAAGGCCAGGTGTACTGGCACGGACTCTGTCTTGTTGCCAAAACAGCTTATCCCACCTAATTATCTCCATCCTTCACCATCAGAGCAGTGCTTATTCATCCCATGCTCTTGCACTCGGTGTATCCCAATTGGCTGGCATGCCTTTCTCTCCCTGAGATAATTCATGAGAAGGAATCTACTGAAGGAAGGCTGAAACCTCCAAATAAAACATAAGGTGACAGATATTGCTAGGGAAACTTGGCAATATATTTCACAAGGTCGAATGCTAATATAATAGTGAAATATTTGCAAGAAGACTTGCTATTGAGAATTTAAAAAAATAGGAAGTTTTCCAGTTAAACTTCGGACCCTTGATCAAGCGGTACTCCCACAATGCACCATCACATTCTGCACACTGCGCATGCTCCATCAAGCTTTCTCCACGGTTAAAAAACAGGAGGAAAGCCTCAGAATCATTCTAGAAAAAGTGTTTCCCAATTCTGCCTTTAAAAGTCCATTTTTATAATGTACAACTTAATCTTCAGTATATCAGCTATTTATTTTTTGTGTATGTTATAAAGATTTTATTTTCATTTTTTTCCCCAAGAGATAAACTCTGTGCCCCCCAAATATTTACAAGATCGCCCCCACTTTTCCCCAGTGGAATAAAATTCTGTTGTGATACCTGGCTGGTCTGATTTATAAACAGATTTGTCTGTCTGAATAAAAAGAAATCCATTGTCATAGCGTAGTGGAATTTTGATGTCTTTCGAAAAATGGATTGATACAACTTCTAAATATACGTGTGAAACTGCATTTGGCCCTCCAGATAAATCTTTTGGTTGTATCTGTTTAAAAAAAAATTAATGGAGGAATATTATACAATAACCTTAAAATAAAGCGTGCTTTTTAGATAGTCATGCTAATGATTTGATTATATCTAATAAGCATAAATATCCTGAAAACTTAATACAGTAAATTAATTTTTCCATGAATACTTCCATATTTAAGTTTCTTAGAAAATTTAGTTTGAACTATAGACTTTCAAAATTGAGCCAATTCAATGTCTCTTGAAAACGATAATCACTCAAAAAATAAACTTTTATTAGACAAAATAGCAAAAGATCAGAAATTTAAAAGCATATCAGTAATAGAGGCATAAGAGGTGGGAATTTACATCAGGGAGACAGTAGACTAAGGGACTTTGTGATATGAATGAATAAAGTATCTCTCATGCTTGTAATTATATTTGGGTTTGTGCTGGAAGTCTGTTTACAAATTTTTTTTGTGCCTGTTGGTCATAGTATAATTAGTAGGTGAACTTATTCTAATATACTGCACTAAGTCACTATAATTTATCATAATAAACATTTGTCTAATTTTCCTTCAACATTGTTCACAAATTTGGAAGTATAAGAATATATGATGAATACATATTTTAGAGGAAAAGCAATTATTTTTTGAATGGTAATATATTGTAGTATATAGTTTAAGAAAATAGTTCTCCGAAATGTCTCTATTCATTTTTGTAAAATATTTAGAACAGAACCAAACCCCACATTTACATGTCTGTTTGTGTGTATATATGTGTGTGCATATGTTTGATCTTAATAGTAGATAGTTTGGAGAAGGTTTTTTTTGGCTAGTTCTGGCTGCCTTGAGGGCAGGTGTGGAGTGACTTGTGGGGCTGGGGATCAAACCGCAGTCCTCTGCGCCTGACTGCATTTCCCCAAGTGGCGCTTTAAACAACTGAGCTATTGGGCAAGCTCCAGTAGTAGGTAAAGTTTAAGTATGTAAATTATGTCTGCCTAATATTCATTATACAATTTTAACCCAGTTACGTATGTTATTTGATTTACTTTTCAACTGGTATCACCAAGAGCTTTCATCTTAATAACCACTTACTGCTCAGACATTCACAGTTCCTTAATTGCCTCCAAGTGAAAAATATATTTTCCATTTATAAATTACTATAAACTTGAATTTAATGACATTTTACACCATCTAGTCACTTAAGAGTATGACATAGTACACTTTTAGTCTCACATTTCAAATCAATCAGGGGACCATCTGTTTGTAATTTTTCAAAGAAACATCTTCCATAGAAAACAAAATAGAAGAAGGATACATACAGTTAAGTTCGCAGAGTTTTGAAATTCATTTTCTGGAGATAAATCAACTTGGTCAAAAGAGTACGTGAAACTTTTGTCAGGATAACTTTTAATAGCAGTGATCACAGAAAATGATTCTACATATCCATGAGCCTGAATTACTACATTTTCAGAGGTTCCGAGATAGAACACTTTAGGTCCTGAGATGACATACCTGTTGAAACAGTAAACTTGTAAGTCAATCTGTTAATAAAAGTTGTACTATTTTCACTTCAATGAACGATGTAAATGGCTAACATTTAGATAGAACTTAGCAACCTATGTTTTTATTCCTCAAAATTTGGTTAGCCTGGTAAAGCCAGGATACTTTACAGAAAACACTCTAAAATGAGATTTCCAGAAAGTAGACAGAAGTGATCTTATCAATTGTAGCCAGGAAATGTTTACTAGAGCTCCCTCTAAGAAGGGCAAATGCAAACCATACTTCTGTTTTTTGAATTATCCCCTTTCAAACAAAATACCAATCGAGAAGTTACTCTTCCCTGGGGGCAAATGTGAGAGCGCTGGATACACAGTAGTAGGATGCAACTTGTACACAGCTCACGAAGTGTTTGTACTAAAACACAGATGAGTAGCGATGGACGCTAGAGGAGACAAGAAATTCACTCGGATGACTCAGAAATCAAAAGTTACTTTCATCAGACATTGAATTCTGGTTTCTATAAAATTACAACTAAAATACATTTCAAACATAAATGGCATCTTTCACTTACACTTGCTCTTGTCCCCAACTTCTTCCTAAGTACAGAAAAAGACAAACTATGGTTAAAATGCCCATGGTAGAATAGCATAAGATCACTGGGAGAAACTTTCTTGAAATTGCTCTGCTTTTTGTGAACTATTTGAAGAATTTGTTCAGATTAGTCCTCAAGTTAATTATTAATGTCAAATAGTAGGATCATTGAAAGGGAAACTTTGGAATTTACATAACGTTTTTAATGCAGCACCAGAATCAAACTTGGAACCTTGTCCTTGCTAGGCAGGTGCTTAAACTGCTGAGCTATATCCCTGGCCCTTAAGACAAATTATTTATTGGTTACAGGATCTCACTGTATAGTTCACACTTGTAGTGATCCTCCTGTCTCAGCCTCCCCAGTGCTGAAATTATAGATGTGTGACACCACACCAGGTTTCTGGGGCTGGCACGACATGGGTACTGAGGATCGATGTAGTGTCCTTGCGCTTGCCATGCACGCACTTAGACTGCTGAGCTATCTCCCCAGCCCTTAAACAATGTTTTGATGTCCACAGGTATTCTGGGATTCAAAGAAGAGAAACTTGATTTTGATATTTAAAATGGAATAGACACCTAAATGTGAGTCTATAGAGAACTGCTAGATGCAGACACAAAATATTTGAACGTTGATCTAGTCTTGGACATTTTTAGGCCTAGTAGATACAGTTGATCCTGTGACCAGATGTCTTTTACTAGGTCTGTACATATGTCCTTAAGTTTCCCAACTGCATATTTCTCTAGGCAATTCAGGTCAGCCATGGAAAGCGGAAGCCCAGAAATGCATTAGAAGTTTCATCCTTCTGATATTGTTCAACAATCAATAACTGGACAGTTGTGAAGGTATATAACAGGACAGGTCCTATGTCTCAAAGTTCAACGACTTTGTGGCATCATTCATGCTGTAGAAACCTCCATCATGTGATCAGTCTGAGGCTAGATCTCAGTCAAAACCACATCTCTGCTTAGCTTTTTGCATGACGTATTTGGGCTTTTGTTTATTGGTGTCTCTTGAGAGCAGTTTCTTAATAAACCACCTTCATGGGAAAGCCTTTCTGTTTAAACCTATGCTAGGGAATCTTCCAAATCCTAAGGAACACCATAGGGGACTATCATCCGGGATTCCATGCGGAATGTCTTACTTAGGTCTAGAGAAGGTGCTGAGGCTTCTTTGGACTGACTCTTATTTGAATTTGGGCCCATGAGTCCTGTAGATCTTCTGTAGAGTAGATTCAAAATATCAAGACAATTTCCCAATGCTGAGGCACTCCTAGAACTAGAATTGAGCCATGAATGGCCAGAACATAAAAGCAAGGAAGCTATGAAATTATTGTTGTCTTAGGTTACTCCAGGATGTGCTCAACTACATGCACAGGCCCACACTGAGCAATGAGTCTCTACAGCTGGTGGCTAGAGTGATGGGTTTTGTAATTGCTCCTTTACCTTTTGTTCTATCTAAACTGCAAACCCTATGGCAACACGTACAAGGTCTAATGTTTACAACAGGGTTATACCCTAGAACTTATCCTAGTTTTAAAAGATAGTTGAGGGGCTCGGGACCGCGCGCGCCCGGCGAGTCACTTGTCAGCGCTAGTCTGAGGCGGGAGGCAACGCGGCGCGCGTTCCGAGTTTCCTTCATTGCCTGGCATTCTAATTTGAGCTATTGGAACCATGAGCAACTACAGTGTATCCTTGGTTGGCCCAGCTCCGTGGGGCTTCCGACTGCAAGGTGGCAAGGATTTCAACATGCCTCTGACAATCTCTAGTCTAAAAGATGGTGGCAAGGCATCCCAGGCAAAAGTGAGAATAGGCGATGTGGTCCTCAGCATTGACGGAATAAGTGCAAATGGGATGACTCATCTGGAGGCCCAGAACAAGATAAAGGGCTGTACAGGCTCCTTGAATATGACTCTACAAAGAGCATCTGCCACACCCAAGCCGGAGCCAATTTCTGTTCAAAAGGGAGAACCTAAAGAAGTAGTTAAACCTGTGCCCATTACTTCTCCTGCTGTGTCCAAAGTCACTTCCACCACCAACATGGCCTACAATAAGGCACCACGACCCTTTGGTTCTGTGTCTTCACCAAAAGTCACCTCCATCCCATCACCATCGTCTGCCTTCACCCCAGCCCATGCAACCACTTCATCACATGCCTCCCCTCCACCTGTGGCTGCTGTCACTTCTCCCCTGTCCTCTGCATCTGGACTGCATGTTAATGCCAGTCTTAGTGCTGACCAGTGTTCACCTGCACTGAGTGCTGGTAAAACTGCAGTTAATGTCCCATGGCAGCCCACAGTCACCAGCGTGTGTTCCGAGACTGCTCAGGAGCTAGCAGAGGGCCAGAGAAGAGGATCCCAGGGTGACAGTAAACAGCAAAATGGTCCACCAAGAAAACACATTGTGGAGCGCAATACGGAGTTTTATCACATACCCACTCACAGTGATGCCAGCAAGAAGAGGCTGATGGAGGATACTGAAGACTGGCGTCCGAGGACTGGAACAACTCAGTCTCGCTCTTTCCGCATCCTTGCCCAGATCACTGGGACTGAACATCTGCAAGAATCTGAATCTGATAATACAAAGAAGGCAAAGGAAAAGATACCCCTTCACGCCTTTAGTCCCAAATATACAAAATTACGTGACTGGCACCATGAAGTTTCAGCTCGTGCTCTTAACGTACAGTGATTTATGAGCCTTGCCCCCAAGCAGCCAGCACATATACCTTTTCATTCACTTTTTCTTTTTGAACTTCATAGCAAGATCTGTGTTCATTTGCTTTGTTGGAAAATAGAATCTTTTCTATTCTATACTTTTCTAACAATTTCCTATTGTGAAACTGAAGAAGATAAACATGTTTTGTGCTAGTTGGTAGCTCATAAATATAGTCAAAGGAAAAAATGAAAGGAGTGGATCTATTCAGTGGATTTATGTGTTTCCCTTGTTATTATGGTAATAACATTGGAAAAGGAGTTTTTTTTAAGTTGAATTTGTCTCGTCATTTAAAGCTAAGGTAGATAAACAAATAATATGTTTGTCTAACTTGGAAAATACATCCTTTGTGTCATTATGTTTCCCAAGATCATTTTTAAGTTCATTACTATGGATTGTTTAGAATTGATTACAAATTATTTCATGTAAGCAAATACAAGGAGATAAGACTAAAAATAAAAAATTTTCATAGTGAAATTCATTGTAGGTTTAGGTATCTTGTAAAGCAAGCTCTATTCAGGATGGCTATATGAAGAAGAGGAAGAGGCCAAGACAGGGCTGCTAAAGGAGAGAAGAGAACTCTGCTGTTTCCAGTGAGAAAATAAAAATATTTTTTGGTTTGGTTAGATTCAAAATTCTGTTTTCTACTAAAGGAACTATACAGAACTGTTGAATATTTTTATGGTATAGGGGAATTTCCTGATATTAACTAGCAAGATATGGAAAGATAGCTATGCTTAGTTTTAAAGTCAAAGGAAGATAACAAAATAAATTATAATATGAATGATTCTGAGATACTGAAGAAATATTTTACTTAGTGTTATAAAGTACGATGTGTTGCTGCTATGCCTAGGAAGCTGTTTTTTGGGCAATCTATGGAAGCTAAATATCTAACCAGAAATGCTTTATGCCTTGTAATATAATGTATTATATATTAGATCTAAGTTCAGTAATAAATGCAATTTGAAGTTTGGAAAAGTATTGTAATAAAGTTGCCTTTAACTTAGCTTTATACTTGTTCTGTTTCCTTGAGGCTGTTGACTGTGCTGTCTAGGACTTGCTACAGTACAACTTAGGTAAACTAATTACCTTGACTGTTCACTTGAACAACATTTTTAATTTGTTGGGGTTACAGAAATGTGTGCATGAATCACGGCAAAAGTCCATGTTTGCTTTTGTCTTCTCCTTAATTGTTACATTATTTAAGGTAACATCCTATGTTATAGTATGGAAGACCCAGGTAGACTGTGGTGCAGCATTAAAGTGTTCTTCGTGTGAAAATGATTACCAGAATTTCTTGCCTGTATTCAAAGATTCATTTTTATTTTTCCAGGTGTTCTACACTTTCATGTTACCATAGACTAGAACTGTCTGATAACTTGGAGAAACTAATATTAATTTCAGTTGCCAATTCATTGCTATTTAAAAATTGGCCTGCCAAATGCATTTAAAATTCTAGAACTTATCTAAAATGTACTATGCTTCATGATACATGAATGTCTTTCTTCTACTGCACCAGATCTTTGGATGCTAAGAGGTCTTGCCTCCTTGTGTTTTTCTGATCCTGATATCAATCAGGGTTATTAAAGTGTCTCTGGGCTCTGTAGGAAAATCTGCTTTCTTAGACCAGGATTTCCTAGGCGTTGTAATTCTTTCTTGTTCTCAAAAGATACTGTCTGAAAGAAAGTCAAATTAAAGTCACACAAAAATAGATGATGTGGCAAACATATTTTCCACCAAAAACAAAGTTTTTGAACTATGAGTTGAATGAACTAAAGTTTTAGGTAAATAAAAACATTTTTCTTATTACATACAAGAGAACCTGCATAGAACTTTGTATATTGAAATAAGTTCAGTTGAAAATAAGAGTTTGATACTTTTCATAATGAAAGTATTTAATGTGTTGTGGGAGGTGTGGACTTGCAATTATCCATATTTGAGTGCAAGGGTAACTGCAGCCAGGATCACAAAGGACTTTCCATTTGATGCTGCCAGAAGTTGAATTCCTGAGCTCAGTGAATCTTTGGGGACATCTTATACCTAGCTAAAAAGAGAGCCAAAAATTGTAAAAGCTTCATACAGAAATATTATTGGTAGATCTAGTAACTTAACTTATGGCTTATTTTTGTTTGTCTCTCTTACAGAGATGTTATCATAGGTTTATAATACGAATTTGAGAAGTTATCCTTAAGAAATTTTAACTTTTTTTGATAACATTTTACCAGTCTAAAGATAGAATGTGTTTCACACACAGTTAAATATATTTTTGCTACCTCAAAAAACATTATTTGTGCTAACAGGAACATACTATTTTGTGTATCATTATGCTGTTTAGGAAGGCTCAGATATAGAGATCTCTTATTACATATTTAGTAAGAGTTATATTAGGATATAGATTTGCAGCCCCTTCTATTTTTCAAAATTATCCGGAAAATAAATAAAAAATGGTTTTGCTCATACAAATAATTTTCAGTTACTGTGTTTATTTTATTTATTTATTTATTTATTTATTTATTTATTTGTATTTAGGATAAGGAGTATAGGATGTGCAGGGTCTCACTGCATAGATTGGACACCTAGTGATCCTCCTGTTTACAGCCTCCCAAGGGCTGGGATTAGAGGCGTGTGCAACCACACCCGCTTTCAGTGGCTGGCATGGCATACCTGGGCTTCCAGGGCCCAGGATTCCAAGGCCTGCATGGCATGTGGTGCCAGGGATTGAACCTGAGTCCTTGTGCTTGCTAGACAGGCAATTACTGTGTTTCTAATGTTTATTCAAAATCATATGAATCATAAATATCCACTCTTTGTCTATATTCATTCTTTAAAGTGAGTAGTTATGAAATACTTAAAGGCTAGGTGCTAATTCTATGTGTTAAGAGTATAGTAGTGGATAACAAATAGGTATATAAACAAGATGACCTGAGGTAGTTTTGTTACCAAGGTAATAAAGTAGGTTAATGTGAGAGAAATGTGGCTTATCAGGGCAGGATTAGTTTAGATTATGTGGACTTGTGAGGCGATGAGCAAAAGTCAGCTGTGCAATGGTGAGCGTGGTGCTGGAGCAGAGGAAGCAGGTGTGAGAGCGTGGCAAGCGCATGGCTCAGGAATGTGCTGATGGGTAGGAGCAGAAGCACATGGTTCTTGTGTGCCTTGTCATGTGTAGTGCAAAACTATCATATCTAACCACTTCCAAGTAAAATTAGAAAATAAAAAGCCAGAGAAGAAAGTGCATACCTTTCTAAAGAAAGTGCATACCTATTATGCCAGACTTGATTATGATCAATTCATTGTGGCTCAGACAAAGGAGGCATGAATATTATGGTGCTGGTAATATAGGTAGGGAACAAAAGCACAAACAGAAACACTGTAGAGCACATGTAATGTCATGTAAAAATGAAACTTGGATGTCTAAAAATGTTCTGTATAATGTACTACTTGTGATGAAATTTATCTCATTCAAGAAATTTTTTAACAAAGTAAATTAAATATTTCCGTCATCATTTTTTCGTGAGTTTCTGCTTGTTTAAAATGTGACATTAAATCTGTAGTAGACACTTTAGTATACTCCTAGCCATGAAGGAGCTGGCCTTAAACTCAGCGGTCCTCTCGCCTCAGCCTCCTGAGTGTTGGGATCAGGCATGGGCCACCATGCCTGGCCTAGAAGTTCTTCTTCATAAGCAGCCTCCATGCCAAATTCTGTCTTGGGGTCTGCTTTTTGGAGAGCCTAACCCATAACAGAATCATTTTATATCCTGATTTAGATCATGGTTACATAGGATCCCATTGTGGTAGTTTTATTCATCTCATCATTTTTCCTATCTTTGCTGTTTCCTGTCCCTTCTCCTTAAATCTTTAACCCAGACTATAATCATACAAATTAAGCAAAGATTGGTTGTGGTTACAGGAAAGTCAAAGATGCATTTATTTTTCTTTGCTTCAAATGAAAAATGTTTCTTTGCTAATCACATTTGAGGCCACCTTGAAGAAATAAGTAGGTGATGATAACTAGAAATGAAATATATTGAGAGCTGTATCTATGAGCTCCAAGATGAGAATGAGGACTGAGAAAATATAATGAACACTTTAAATAGAGCAGCAATCAAAATATTATAATTTGCATGTTATAATTTTCCATGTGCAGCTGTGTACATTCCAATATGTACTAGCTGTTTAATTTGTCACTTAATTTTATTTTAACACATCTGCTGTTTTCTTTACCTCCATAGAATATTTCCTCCTGAACTGGGCATAGTGGATGATTACCATTGTAGTCCCAGAACCCTGGAGGCTGAGGCAGGAGAATCAAAAATTTAAGCCCAGCCTGAATACCTGGTAATTCAGAGAACTCCTGTCTCAGTAAAAGTAAAAGGGTGGTTGGGATATAGCTCTCTGTGAAAGTCTTGAGTTCAATTCCAGGACTTAAAAAAAAAAAAAAATTCCTCAGTTTCCTGCTAGGAGAGATTCTGCTCCTCAGTGGCCTCTGGAAATGTGTCAGGTGATGATGGAGTTGTGGAAGTCAAGAGGGTACTTCTGCAGGCTGAGGGTACTGGATGTCTTAGAATTCCCAGAGTACATTCACCCAGTCCCAAAGGCCTGTGGTGTTACTGAGAGTGATGGGGCTGAATGCATACACTCTTCTTGCATGGGTTTTTATTCTCTCTCCTAACTCTAGCTTCACACTCAAGGGCATTGAACCCTCACTACCACCGGAAACTGCTCACAGTGGAAAGAATCTTCTCACTTTGGAACTGCCAGACTGCTAGATGATTTTTACCACTCTTGTGGTGTCTCCTTTTATAATTTGTATTATGGTATTGGTCTACGTGCCAGTAGTATGAACTCTGAAGAAAAAAAGGCCCTAGAATAAGCACAATGCTGTGTTTTTCCTGGATTCAGCTATAGCTGTATAAATGAAGGTTGTGTGTTAAATGAAGTGACTCATTTTGAAGGTGGGTGGGTGTTAACGATTGCACAACTCCTCTCTGTTAATCTACTTCTTAAACTAGGATAATACTATACTAGGCAGCTCTTTCAAAAGATACACAGGCTGCATGGCTTCAATAGTGGACACTTATTTTTCCCCAAGTTCTGGAGGCTACAGGTCCAAGTGCCAGCACTAAAGTTCATTTCTGACCAAGTCTCTGCCCCTGGCTTGCAGATGGCCACCCCTCACTGTGGGCTCACAGGAAAGGATGGCATAGACAGGTCACTGAGAAGGATACTCTTAGTATCTTAATACTCATTTTCTTTTTCTCTTATAAGGACATAAGGATGCTAATCATACTGAATTGGGGTCTGACCCTTATGACCTCTTTTCACCTTCATTACCACTCCAAAGGTCCTGTATCCAAATTCTACTGAGGAGTAGGACTTCAGTATATGAACTGGGGAATGAGAGTGACACATTCATTCTATAACATACCCCACTTGCCTTCTGTAGTTGCAGTAATTTCACAGATTAACATTTAAGAAAGTCATTCTGTTACCTCTGTTGTTATGGTGCTTCCTTTTCCACTTTGGATGTTTGTCCCCATGTCTTATGAAAGCATTTTAATATCGCCTCCTGTATTTGGCACAAGTCTAATTGCCTTTGTCTTCAGTTTTCCAAATGTTGAATTTTAGGTATTTTGTTATAGCAGATATTCCAATTATAGGTTCGTATAATTCAAACTTTCATAAAAATAATAGGTCATTAATATTGATAGTAAAAGTAAAGTAGAACTATCTCTAAAATGGCTTAAAAGGAGAATTGTACTTTAATCTTAGCAAAATTTAACACTTTTCCCAGTTACAGAAGATTTGTTTCATCAAATGACCATTTGTTTCTTAATGCTTCTTCCTTTGTGTTTTTGGAGTGTTTTGCAATGAATAGCAAGGTGACCCCTGGGAAGAGAAAATAGCTAATCTTAGAAACTTGTATATAAAATGCTTAGTGTACTAGTTGGTAAAGCCAGCAAAACTAATTGTATCATTACTAAGAAAATATTTAAAGTTTAAAAATATGCAGTA